GCCCGCATAGGCGCCCTGAGGAGCGGCTCTGAAAATCAAGAGCTGAAATGGTAGCGGGTGAATGTGCCTCTGGGGGTTCTGTATGCTCCTGCAGGGATACGTCCGCCATGGCCTCTCCTAATTACTCACTGCCTTCCTCGCAGATGCTAAGTGCCATGCCCTCAGTTATGTGACCTCACTTCCTGTCAGTCCCCTTCCCATAATGCAACACTGGGCCACTCCCGTCCTTTTGGTAATGTTTGCTTGGACATGTTTGCCTACATCATGAAGATGTGGACTTGGAGGGACCTTGCTCTACTAAATGCCCTTCATTTGCTTATTTTAAAAATAAGAGTTCAGTTTTTATGTGTTTCTTGTGGCTTGGGGTTAGACTTTTTTAATTACAGGTCACCACAAATATTTTTGTTCGTGTTAAGTCTCAGGAGCAGGCTGGGTGTGTGATGAAGGGTTTACTTTTGGACACATTTGCAGGAAGGTGTCACTGAAATACTTAAGATATCACTCAACACTTATTGGGGAGGGTCGCGCAGTCTGTGCTCAGGGTTAAGCTCTGCATATGAGCATTATTAACATAAAATGTAAAAGAACCTTAAAGCTTTACTTTGTAACACATCTCTGCAGAAAATGAGTGGTGAGAGATAGATCTCCTTCCATCTATGACTGTGTGTTGGTTTGTGTCCTTGTGCAGTTTAAGGGCAGTGCCAGTACATAGTTTCGGACCTTGTCAGGACCAACTCTCGGTTAGAGATTATATATCTGCAACTTCCGGTGACCTTCACTTACTGGCTGAGATGTCCTGTCCAATGGGAAGCCTCGTTCCACAGAGAGAGGGGATTGCAAAATTCCATCCCAATATTTAAAGTGTTGGCCAGGACCCTGGATAGACACTGGAGAATGCTGAACACCCCCCTGGTTATTTTTGAGCAGAGTAACAGCAGCGATCAGCTTGCATCTGCCATTGAAAAGGAGAGTGGAACTGAGTGACTGGGTGTCGGAAATTAGGTCACGTATCGCAGGTCAAAGAAATAGGTTTAAACAAGCTTGGCACTCGAGTTCGTCTCCTTAAGTCCTCCTAGACCCTCAGATAAGGGCCTGCTGGCTGTCACAGAGGGTAGAAGGAAAGCTGGTGACTGCCTTTTTATTAAACATCTCAGCTGTTGGGAGGTGCCTTCACTAAATGTACCGTCGACTTGTTTTGTTTCATGCATTTCTAAAAAAAGAGATTACAGTTGAGCTTCTTCTGTGTATCTTGCCTTGTTCTGCAAGTAAAGACAATGATGCTAAAGAGGATGATTATTGGGTCAGCTCACACCTTCAGGGTCTGAGGTCCAAACCCCTCTGTGTGTGTGGAGTTCTCTGCCCCCTTCAGTAGCCCGAGTCTCTCCCCCGATGCTCCAGTTTCCTGCCACAGTTCAAAGACATGTAACTAGTTTAACTGGTGTCTCTAAATGGCCCTTCCTGTGTGACTGTGTCCTGCTGCCATGTACTGGGAAATAGCTAGAAGATGGGGGGTGTGTGATGGTGTGTGTGCGCCCCATGGTGGACTGGCGTCCCGTCCTGGATGCCCCCCCCCCCCCCCCGTTCTGTGTTCTGCGCTTCCTGGTGGGATGGGCTCCAGCAAACCTGTGCAAGATAAGGGGTTTGAAAATGTGTGTATGTGAAGCCATTCTTAGGGTCTGTGTGTGTGTGTGAGCGGGTTTACATATCCTTATGGGGACATTATGATAAATATCCGTTTTTTTCCCCTTATGGGGACCGGTTTCCTGGTCCCCATAAGTTAAAACTCTATTTTATAAAAATCGGTGACTGCTATGAAAAAACTAAAAATGCAAAAACTCTTGTATTTTGTTAGGTTACTTATGGTTATGGTTAGGGCTGGGTAGGGGTTAAGGTTGTCATAGTTAGCGTTAGCATTTATCCCATTGAAATGAATGAGTGGTCCCCATAAGGATATGTTTACCCTACATGTCTGTGTGTGTGTGTGTGTGTGGTCCAGGTATACATTATATTGTGCAGAGTGAATGTCGCTGCATTGTGATAAAAACCTGTTATTTCGACGCTGTGGGGACCATTTTTTCAGTCTCCACAAGGGAAAACTCAATTTTCAAATTTTTTTCCCATTGAAATGAATGACGAGTCCTTACGAAGATGTGGTTACAAACGTGTGTGTGTGTGTCTGTGTGGGAGGACGCGGGACGTAGGCGACACGCTCATTCACAGGAGACTCCCCATCTCCCCAGGCGGCGGGTGCGGTGGCCAGCTGGATGCCAGCGATGCCGGGTACATCACCTCCCCCGGCTACCCCCTGGAGTACCCAGCCCACCAGAACTGCCTCTGGGTGATCACGGCCCCTGAGCCCTCACAGCGGATCGTTCTCAACTTCAACCCCCACTTCGAGCTGGAGAAGCTGGACTGCAGGTGAGGTGGCCGACCCCAGGAGAGAT